AACTGTTCAACAGTGAAATGGGCTCCCTCAGAAGGTGGTGGGCTCTCCTTCCTTGGAGGTTTTTAAGCAGAAGTTGGGTGTCCGTCTGTCATGGCTGCTTTAGCATTTCAGGGGGTTAGACTAGATGACTCTTGGGGTACCTTGCAACCCTACAGTTCTATGATTCTAAGGTACAGAGGAACACAAACCCATTTGTGCTACATGGAACTTTGTGATATTAATTTATGGCATTCGATTCTGGTACAGATACCTGTTCCTACGAGCTTTTTTTGTTTTGTTTTGTTTTTGTTGTTGTTTGTTCCTACGAGCTGTTGCTGTATTTTCGTTCAGATCTTATAGTTGGCTACATTTTCCTATAAGTAAATCTGTGAGAAACGGAAAGGTAGAGTGTGAAGTAAATTATTCCCTATTCTGCCTCCCTCATGGACCGTTCAGCTTGAGACCGAGGTGGCTGGCGCCAGACAGAGAGAAGCGGTAACCTGAGCAGCGAGGCGGCGGGAGGGCGGCAGATATCGCTTACTCACACGGTGTGAGGCTTGAAGTGGGACAAAGGGGTGATATGGGCCACTGACAGGTGAGCTGGGCCTGGCAGGGATGATGGGCGTGGAGAGCTCAGGGCAGGCAGAAGGAATCACCACTAACTTTTATTGCACCAGCCGAAGGCCACGGCATTATCCAAAAACAAGGCAGGCAATTTGTGAAGTGGGGGAAATCCTACATCCAGCCGCTGGATCCTATTTTATTTTATTTTATTTTATTTTATTTTATTTTATTTTATTTTATTTTATTTTATTTTATTTTATTTTATTTTATTTTATTTTATTTTATTTCATTTCATTTTATTTTATTTTATTTCATTTTATTGTTTTATTTTTATACCACCATTCATTCTAAGATTATTACTATTACCATTGTTATTATTCAAACTGATGAAAGCCTTAGCTGAGATTCCTGCATTGAAGGGAGCTGGAGAAACCCAGCCAGATGAGTTTTTTTATTATTATTATTATTATTATTATTATTACTGTTATTACTACTATTGATCATGATGGCAGCGAACTGGAGTCAAGAACAGAGAAAGTGGATTCTAAAGCAGTATACCAACTTTTTGGCCACCCTGTATAAGTTGGTGGCCGTCCTTGCCTCCTGTGGCGGAGAGTTCCGCAGTATAAGGATGCGGTGCCGCATGCAGACTGCATCTAAATAAGTGCATCTCATAGACCCGCGTGAACACCAGCAGGCGCCTCGCAGGATCGGTCCGTAGAACCCCAGCACCCTCCGTAAGAAGGAACCCCCAGAATCAAGACCTCCAATTTTTATTTTTATTTTTAATAAAAAAACAAAACCCAACATTTTGCCTTAAATCCGCTTCCCCGCCTTCCTTCGCGCTCTTCTACCGCCACCTAGTGGCCAAGTTGAGATTAGGTCAAACTTGGATATTTGTTTATTTTTTCGTTTTTCACTGAGCTTGCAAACTGGTCCCTTTAAGACTTGCCCGCGGGCGCAGGAAGCAGGAAGCACGTGGAGCCAGAGAGCAAGTTCCTCCTGTTTTCTTCCAGTCGCTTTTCTATCCCGGTTGCGCTTCTTCTGCCTCTCAGACAGAGACGAAGAACATAGATATGCCGCAGAGATTATATTTGCAAGAAGCGGCGCGGATGGCTTCTTAGATCCCGGCATCGACAGCTTCTCTCCCAAATCTTTCGCAGGTTGGTACAGGGGAGGAAGGTTGCCAATGTCTGCTTTACCCTCCGCTCCTCCGCCTTGCCTTTTTCTCCGCTGCAAACCGAGCAGCGCGCGGAGGATCTGGCAGATTCCTGCAAATTAAGCGGCTGTTAAATAGGCCACAGGAACAGATCCAGGGCGTGTGTTTGTTTTTGTGCGTTTGTGCTTTTTTCCTGGTACGTAGGCAACTCCTTAGATTGGAAAGGAGAGGTTGCAAAAACGAGCGGCCTCTAGTCTTGGCGCCCCTGGGTTTGCTTTCCTGGGAGTAAATCCCATTAATCACAGTTTGCGTGTGCGGGTGTAGTTTTGAAGCGACGTTTGCGAAGAGAAGTTTACGGGGGGTGGGGAAATAGTTTCAGAAGTTGTGTGGCTTTGTTTCTCAGTTTGATCCTATTTTATATGTATTTTATGTATTTATATTTTATGTATTTATGTATTTATATGTATTTTACTCATTGTGACTTGCAGTTATTTTATTGATCATAGTTTAGTAATTGTTTATTGCAATTCTTCAGTGAATTTCTATTTAATTATCATTTCTGATGTTTTGAGGGTTAAGTTTATTGGGTACTATTATATTCTAATCAATTATTGAATATTACGTTATTTGATATAAGTTGTTGTATTTTAAAGTTACGCTTTATTATGACTTTTGTACTGGATCAGATTATTATAAGGCATGTGTTCTTTGTGGTATTCAGTATTTTGTTGCTGTAAACTGCTATATAGAAATAGATTTTTATTTATACCCCGCCCTTCCCGGTTCAGAAAGGGGGTATACAAATTAAAAGTGAAATGAAATACGGGAACCTGCCTTATTGCTGATCCAACTAGTTCAGTATTGTCTGTATGGAGAGCAGATGCTCTAAACCAGGGTTTCCCAAACTTGGGTCTCCAGCTGTTTTGGAACTACAACTCCCATCATCCCTAGCTAGCAGGACCAGTCGTCAGGGATGATGGGAATTGTAGTGCCAAAAAAAAAAAAACCATCCTGAGACCCAAGTTTGGGAAACGCTGGTCTGGACAGTGCTGGTGCTAAGGAGCTGGGAAAGAGGCACAGATTGCAAAAGGGGACATGTTGTTGGCATCTGTCTCTCTCAAGAGACAATGGAGTGCGCCTCTGGGGGTGAAGCCAAACCACTGTGTGAGCAACACCCAAGTGACCTCCTTCGGGTGCAGGCCTGGGCTGTGTTTCTGGAGGTCCAGATGTGGTCCAAAGGAAATCAGAGCAAGGCGTTTGGCACCAGCTGGGCTGCAGGAGTTGCTGGAAGGAGGCGGACAAGGTGCCACCCAACCGCCTTAGGGTCTCCACTCTGAATTTGTCTTGGGTTTACTCCTGAGCCTTTTCTCTCCCAAAGATGTCCCACAAGGCACTGGAGGTTTAGGATCAGAGTCTTCCTTCTCCCCGATGGGCTCCCTTCCCAGGTGGACAAGCCCCACTGGCCCCTCACTTCTCTCTGCAAGGGCTTCTTGACTGTTGGACCCCCTCCGCTCACCTGGTTTAGCCAGCCAGTGGAGACAAGGAAAAAGAAAATACGAGTTTTTGTTTTTATTTAACATGATTTATATGCTGCTCTAGGGACGCAGGTGGCGCTGTGGGCTAAACCACAGAGCCTAGGACTTGCCGATCAGAAGGTCGGCGGTTTGAATCCCCGCAACGTGGTGAGCTCCCGTTGCTCGGTCCCTGCTTCTGCCAACCTAGCAGTTCAAAAGCACGTCAAAGCGCAAGTAGATAAATAGGTACCGCTCCGGCGGGAAGGTAAATGGAGTTTCCGTGCGCTGCTCTGGTTTGCCAGAAGCAGCTTAGCCATGCTGGCCACATGACCCGGAAGCTGTACGCCGGCTCCCTCGGCCAGTAATGCAAGATGAGCGCCGCAACCCCAGAGTCGTCCGCGACTGGACCTAATGGTCAGGGGTCCCTTTACCTTTATATGCTGCTCTCAGGTGGGACGTTCTCTTTTTTTTTTTTTTAATGATATTTATTAAAGTTTCACAAAAATACAGAAAACAAAGAAAAAAGTATAAATTACAGCAAAAAAGTAAAAAGTAAGAAAAAACATACAAAATAAAACAGTTAAAAACACAATAATGTTCCATAACCTATCTTCCTTACTCTTATTTCCCCAGACCTCCTCATACCTCCCTTTGTATTCCAATTCAATTTGTTGGTTCAGCAAATCCTTACCATTAATCTTTTACCCAATTGTTAACCTTTTTCCCCATGTCTCTTAAAGCATTACAGCTAAAAACCTCTTAGTTTCTATCCAACATCCTTCTAAAGTTCCTTAATTTTACAATATTTCTGTAAATAGTCCTTAAATTTTTTCCAGTCTTCTTTCACCGACTCTTCTCCCTGGTCTCGGATTCTGCCAGTCATTTCCGCCAATTCCATGTAGTCAATCACCTTCATCTGCCATTCTTCCAAAGTGGGTAGATCTTGTGTCTTCCAATACTTTGCAATAAGTATTCTTGCTGCTGTTGTAGCATACATGAAAAGGTTCTGTCCTTCTTTGGCACCAGTTGGCCGACAATGCCCAAGAGAAAGGCCTCTGGTTTCTTCAGAAAGGTATATTTAAATACCTTTTTCAGTTCATTATATATCATTTCCCAGAAAGCCTTAATCTTTGGGCACGTCCACCAAAGGTGAAAGAATGTACCTTCAGTTTCTTTACATTTCCAACATTTATTATCGGGCAAATGATAAATTTTTGCAAGCTTGACTGGGGTCATGTACCACCTGTATATCATTTTCATCAGGTGGGACGTTCTCTTCCAAATAAAAGCATCATCTGGTGCGAGTGCAGCCCTCTCTCTCTCCCATGCCTCTTCTTCGATCAGGGATTGCAAATACCTGCAGGGGCTTCTCCCGATGTTGCTCTGGACTCCAGCAGCCACCATTATCACTGACCACTGGACACACTGGTCTCTGGGAGTCGGAGGTTGGCGGTCTCATTCCCAAAATGATTAATTTAATTCCATCCTGTTCCATTTTGGCCCTCCTTTAACAGGTAGCTGTGGTTGGAAGAACATAGGCACACACCTGTTGGATTTCTGCCTTCATCTCGGTCTGTACATTCCTTCACTTGGGTGGCCAACTGGCTGGTGTCACGATGGCAGCGACATCCTTGATTTGCTCCGGGACGGTGAGCAGGTGAGAGATTTTTTTGCTGTCCTCTGAAGATGCAAATTAAAGAACTGAATGTAGGTAGGAATGATCATTGTAGCAAAAGTAATTGTCAGTAATAGCAACATGATAGTGATAGTAATTTTTATAGTTCGGCTTCAGATCGCTCAGTTAGTAAAGCATGGGATTCTTAATCTTGGGGTCATGGGTTCAAGTTCCAGGGTTCAAGGCCCAATGTGCTTGTCTGCAAGGCCTGGGTTCAAATCTCTCACCCTCTACTCACTGGGTGGCCTTGTGAGCCAGTCACAGTCAGCTTGACCTACCTCACAGGGTTATTGTAAAGATAGAATAATGCGAGGGAAACCTCGTGTGCCCCCTTGAACTCTGTGAAGGAAAGTTTGGATGCTATTGTACTAATAAATAAACTTTTAAAATGTCTTGTTTATCTTTTCATCCCATTTTCCTTCCAGATGTGTTGGAGGTGGCTTATGGGATAGATGTTTTATTTTAAAAATCATAAACATGCGTAGTTTTCTCTTTCCTCCCCCCGCTTCTCCCTCCTCCTAAGCGGGTTGGGCTTGATGGCCTTGTGGGGTCCCTCCCATCTCCTAATGGCTTCTGAGAAAGCCCGTCTGCAGTGCTTTCGTTCATTTTTGCAGGGTCAGCTCTGTGCTCAACCGAGACGTGAAGCAGTTTGGGAAGAAGTTTATGTTTGATGGGACTGAGGAGACTTGCTGGAACTCAGATCAGGTGAGATGCAAGAGAAAAACTGCAGTGCTGGCAAAATTATCCATTTTTTTTTAATTGATTGGAGATCAATTTTATTGCACTTCCAGCAGTGACAGTAATAATAACACAGAGCTGGAGTACTTGCAAGACTTTCCCTCCATTGATATCTTGGTCTTCCTCAACAACGCTACTGCAAGACAGGCTGATCTTCATATTGTCCCTGTTATTATTTTTTGAGTCAGGGGATTTTTTACTGAAGTTTCCAAAATACAATAAAAGAAACAAACTAATCTACAAGAAATAACGAGTAGAAAGAAGCTAAAGAAAGAAGAAACAGGAAAAAAAGAAACTGCAAGCCCCTCTCTACTCACTGTTTCTTAACTTTCATCCCTTACCTTCCTCTGTAGAAAGCAATTCTTTTTAAAGGTTTTTAATTGTTTTTCACTGGTAATTTCATTTTTCTTTTTCGCATGGTTTTTCTTTTTGGTTAAATAATCAAGCTGTATATAATTTTTAGGAAATAAAGACATAAATAATTCCGTCTCGTCCCAGCTCAGACTCACTCATCCATCAAGCCCAGTACTAAAGGAAGGAGCTAGTCCTCATGGTTCAAATAAAAGGGTTGGCTTTAGTCAGGTATATAGGAACTCATCTTATCCCAGCTAAGATCACCCGTCAAGCCCAGTGCTGTTCTTTAGGGTCTGTGCAGAGGGAAGCCATTCACAGAATCATAGAGACACAGAGTTGGAAGGGACCCCGAGGGTCATCTAGTCCAACCCTCTGCGATGCAGGAATCTTTTGCCCAACATGGGGTTCCAACACACGACTCTGAGATTAAGAGTCTCGTGCTCACCTTATCTCATGACGCAAAGCAGGGGCTGAGCCTGGCGATTTCACTTGCAAGCTGAACTCCAGCTTCATTAACATGTGATCTTGAAATTCTGGATTCCTTCCCCCAAACTGATACTGAGGTTTAGTGCTAGTTTTGTGCTGTGAACCCCCCTCCAAACCAAGGAATTAACACAACAAATTGGGGTCACAAGTTAATGCCAAAAAAATCCAACCTTGTCTGATTGACTCCAAACAGGGGTCAAAGTTTGGTGCTCGTTTGGTGCCCTTCCCAAAGGAATAATTGACACTCAAACCAGGAGCTATAGGGCAATTACTCAGTTGGGAAGCACTAAACTTTGGCTTCCGTTTGGGAGGGTCCAGAGCAGGCATAGGCAAACTCCAGCCCTCCAGATGTTTAGGACTACACTTCCCATCCTCCCTAGCTAACAGGATCAGTGGTCAGGGATGATGGGAATTGTAGTCCCAAACATCTGGAGGGCCGGAGTTTGCCTATGCCTGGTCCAGAGTTTTAGGGTCACATGTTGCTGAAGCTCTGAACTCCTCGTTTCCCCAGGGAAGGGCTCCTTGTAGTATTTTTTACATTGCCTGGGGGAGGGGGTGGAAATAAAATATTGCAGTTTTGGGTTGAAATTCCTCTCCTTGAGCTAAAAGGTTTGTCCCTAATTGACGGCTGCTGTTGGTCTTAGGGTGCCACCCAGTGGTTGACGCTGGAATTTCCACAGGCTGTCCGGGCGTCCCAGATCCGGATCCAATTCCAGGGGGGATTTGCAAGCCGGAAGTGTGTTGTGCAAGGTAAGGACAGTGGCAGAGGCAGAGGCAGCAGTTGCAAGACTCCTTCATGGCTTGCTAGTAAAACAGAATGGCTGTGTTGCGAAATGGTGCATGTCTAAAAAGTGTGTCACCAACATGGAAAGTTTGGAAAGCTCTGTTGTGGACAGTATGAGGTTGGGGGAGATAGTAAACTTTTATTTTTTCACATAGTGTGCATGCAAGGTTTTTGTTTCAGCGTCAGGCAAGTAGGTCCTTCTTCCATTCATTTATCAGTTTTCGTTGGCCAAGGGACATGGCAAGGAAGTGGAATCTGTAATACACAAAACACGACTCCAGAACCCCACCACCCGCCTTGCCTCAATCAAAGAACCCTGTTTTACCCCCGTTAAATATTGCCCTTTCCACATCTCCTTTCAAATTTCTCCTAGGCTGCCAGAACGGAGGCGATCTTTCCCCGGTGGCGGAATTCTACCCTGAGGATACCAATTCTCTGCAAATATCCTTTTTTCCCTTCCCTCCCAGTTCACTGGGCTGTGGGGGTGGGGATGGAGTCCAGAACTTCGCTTTCCTTAACTGTTCTTCCCTCTACCATTTCTCCCTCGAGGAAACTCCTCTCGACAAACTCAAGATCACCTTTGAAAACAGCACGGATTTCTTCGGACGGGTGATTGTCTACCAGTTGGATGTCCGTGGGGTGAAACTTTGACCCTGGAAGTCCTCATGTGACTGTTTTTTTTTTAAATTTTGTGCCTTTTTCACAACAGCCAAAACCTCACAAATCCGATTCTGCAGTTGTTCTGCCTTGCTTCTGAAATGGAAGTGTCTCTTTGCCCTGGTTTGCAACTTGAGGACATCCCATAAGCTTACTTACGGCGGGAATGCAAGTTGTAACAATAAAAAATTGAATTTTATTTTGACTGAGATGATAAATATTACTAAAGAAACAATTGTTTGTTATCCAAATTAATGCTTTTGATGATACCAATGTAGACATAATGCCCAAAGAACTGGTCTTACATACGATCTTGGCAGCTCAAATAGGAATTGCAACTCAGTGGGAAACATCCCACAATCTTACACCTGGAGGCTTAGTGCCACTCACTCTGGAAAATGGAGGAAATTTGAGATTTCATTGAGGACTACAACCTCCAGGTGCTTTTTATACAGCCTGGCATCCGTTTGTCACATGGCCATCTGCACTGCAGCGGGTTGGACTAGATGACCCCTGGGACCCCTTCCAACTCTACAATCCTGTGATTCTATGTACAATGGGACAATCGTTTTCAAGACGACTCTTGTCACAAGTCTGGCAAATCTGGAACTAGACTTTCACTTGGACTTTTGTCATTCTAACCCATGTGCTACTGTGCTCATTCTGTCTGTCAGATACTTTTCTTTTTCACCTTTCCATTGTCGTTCATTGTTCTGTTTCATATGCATCACAAAATGAAATAAAAATCTCTTTGCAACAAGAGGAGCCTGGATAGCTCAGTCGGTTGGAGCGTGGCACTGATAATTGCCAAGGCTGCAGGCTCAATCCTTGAGTGGGACAGCTGCATATTCTGCCTTGCAGGGGGTTGGACTAAATCAGGCATCCTCAAACTTGGCCCTCCAGATGTTTTGGGACTACAATTCCCATCATCTCAGGGATGATGGGAATTGTAGTCCCAAAACATCTGGAGGGCTGAGTTTGGGGGTGCCTGGACAAAATGATCTTCAGGGTTCCTTCCAACTCTGATTCTGTGAGGACAGTCCATAATTTCAAAAGGTGTCTCCCTTCCCAGGAGTGGCTGGCAGACTCCAAAAGCCAAACCAGGGCACGTTTTCCACCCAGTTGGCTACCATTCCCTCCATTTGGGTGTTGCTGCTGATCTTAGGGCTATAAGCTCTGGGCACTCAGCTCTCACCTGTGGCTCCTAGATGCTGCCGGCATGTGACAGCGGCCACAATCCCAGGAAAGGCTTTGACTGGCCAGCTAAGCCAGGGGAGGGGAGCTGTGATGGGATGATGAGCTGCTTGTGCGTAAAATCGTATCCCCTCAGAGTTTGTTCAAGTCCACAAACCTCTGTCTGTGACAGAGCCCCTCAGACATGGCTACTCTAGTCACTAGCAGATTCCGACAGTGGTTGCTTTCGTAATCGCTTCCAACATAAAAGCTCCTTAACGGAAACACGTCTTCTGGAATCTCTGCGTGACAGTTTCCGGCGAGGAGTGGGTGTTCTTACAGGAGGTCCTGAAACCTCTCCACTGTTTTCGCTGGAAGTGTCTCTGAGCCATCCCTCCAGCTCAGCTCCTCTCCCCCTGCTGGTTCCCTCATCAGCTGCTGCGTCTCTCCCAACCTGTGTGAGCCCTTTCACCTCCCTGTTGGTTTCCTCTTCAGCTGCTGCGTCTCTCCCAACCTGTGTGAGCCCTTTCACCTCCCTTCCGTCCGATGGCAGTTCCCTGACATCCACCTCC